GAAATTTTAGATTCCAAGAAAGGAATTTGTAGTGTGAGGRAAATCAGATGCTGAACTAAGCACCTGCAGAGGCTGTGAAATACATATCTGTAAAGGAAGCATCCTGAGCAACCTGTTGTAACTGTACCTCCTCTGGCCACGAGGTTGGACTAGATCACCTCTGGAAGTCCCTTTCAACCTGATGGTCTTTTTGTGATSAATTTCTCAATTTTTAAAGTGTTACTTTATATAGCTGTTTCTGGCTGTAAGGAACACTTTTCTGAGACATCATATTTCCTTTAATTTCAAATGYAAAAGTATCACAAGTAAAACAAGGACTACATAAATTTTTGTTTTAATAACTGCAGATAAAATACCCCAGAGCAGTTTTCATTTCTGTACTGCAGGATGTGACCTGTCTGTTTTATCTGACATAAAGAGTTGAAATCCTTCTGGCATGTTTTTTAGGTTGTTCTTTGTGGTGGGTCTGCWCGAATCCCAAAGCTACAGCAGCTGATCAAAGATATTTTCCCAACYGTGGAATTACTGAATTCAATTCCTCCAGATGAGGTTATTCCCATYGGTGCAGCCATAGAGGCAGGAATTCTGCTAGGGAAAGAGAATACCTTGTTAGAAGAAGATGCACTCATTGAGTGTTCTGCCAAAGATATTCTTCTTAAGGTAAGACTAAAACTAGAATGTTAGAAAATTTTACTGCTGCAGTGAATATATAGCACTAATTATGTAYGGTTCATATTAGAGAAGCAGCATTGTTTTATTATTACTTTTACAGATAATGCTATAGATAAATGCTACTTGGTAGTAGCATTTAGGTTTATTGACAAAAAACTTGACAGAAAATACTGATTTTGAGGAGAGATAATTTGTATCTTTTCTATGCTGTAATAGCTGGACTTYCTATTTATAGGAATGTCAGGTTGTTGTGATGTGTCACTTGCTGTGATGGTAAATGTGACAGAGGGAGCAAATCTTGGATTYCTTTTCTTGCAGAACATCATTGTAACACTTCCAGCTCAGTGAAGCACTTAAAGACATGAACTCAATTTCATTTTTTTTTTCTTTTTTAGGGAGTAGATGAGTCAGGGGCTGACAAATTCACCGTGCTATTTCCATCAGGGACACCACTGCCAGCTCGAAGGCAGCAYACCCTGCACGCTCCTGGAAATATTTCTTCTGTGTGCCTTGAGCTGTACGAGTCATTGGGGAAAAGTCCCATGAATGAAGAAGATAAATTTGCAGAGGTGAGTATACACACATTCGTGTGCACTTCTACCAGCAGCTCCCTGAAAATCAGTTGGACCTGGAAAAAAAAAAAGGGAAACCATTCCCACCACTACCAAAACTTGTTAGAAAATTATAATAGCATGCATCTCTTCGGCATTGGTCTTTATTAATTCTTCTGTACATGGATAATATTTAAGCATTTTGTAAAGAAAGTGAAGTTTCCCTTTTGAATTACTAAAGGGCTGACAGGATTTGACACTTGYAGTAAGTGAGTTATTGTATAAGTAAGTTGACTATTACAGTAAGATCACCTGGGATGTGAGATCTTTATCAGTCATGCCAGTAGTGCACAGATCCTCCAATGTTTTAAAAATAAAACTGATGGAGAAAATTACATAGCTAGTGTGTTGATTACTTTTTGATCTTCCTGGATTTGACAGGATCTTGTATTAAATACTCAACTTAATCACAGTTGCAAGATTAAATGGTTCTATCAAGTGAGGATTTAAAGTTGTTGGTTAGGAGTCAACCTACAGAGAGAGCACAGCTTTTTTGAAACAGTGATGATGCACTTTCCTTGAAAAGCATCAGAGAAGGGGCAGATGTGTCTGAAATTGATAGAATATTTTAGAGGAATATTATTCCACCTTAGTTCTGCCCAAATATCTTTTATTGGATAGGGAAAGGATGTTTACCTAATAATTACAGTATGGATCCTAAGTAAATGACACTGCGGGGGGATAGGTCCCCCAGCTATCTTGGTGGTAGGTTGTGAACCAAACCACAATAACAATAGTGCAAATAGCTTAAWATAGATTAATTTGCCCATCTTACCTGTTGTCACTTCCTTTGAACTGCTGTGCATGAACTTCAAGAGCTTGATTATAATCTTTTTTTTTACTAGATTGTACTCCAGGATTTAGATAAAAAGGAGGAYGGCCTACATGATATACTCACTGTTCTCACTATGAAAAGGTAACCAAAATACTTGTTCTGCTGTTTATCTTGCTATGTCACATTTCTGGCAAGCAATCTTTGCTGCTGTTACAGAGTATTTAATTTTATATTGAGAAATTTATATTCAGAATTTCAATTTTATTGGTCATGGGGCTGCACAGTCCTAGCAGGGGTAAATTCAGTRGAAATGTGGGTTTTCTGCAGTACCTTTGGTGCTGTCATTGTTTGTGTCCTAAAGAAAGCAATCTTAATACAACTGTGTGTTATTTTTAGCAACATCTGAACCGTTGATCAGTTTAACCATGCTTGAGAGCAGTCAGGGTCTCAGACTTCCTGTGGAAGTAGGTTGGGTAGTTTTGTTGAATACCCACACTCTAGGGAAAAACTGAAAAATATTTTGGCTTTTTTAGTGATGAAGGATTGTAGAATTTACAGTGGTTCTGTCCTTTCAGAGGCAGGGTTTTTAAGCAGAGAAACAGTGCCACAAAAAAATTGTACTTGGTGTTTAAGTTCAAAATGGTTCGTTTTCTTATGTTAGCTGTCAGGTGTATTAATGCCTATTAATAGACCTCACCTAGAATGCCTTGTTTGTCATACAGAGATTTACATTTAGCACTGATAAGGAAAACAACTTGGGGATTATAGGTACAGCTCTGTCATGCAGACAAACAGCATTCTTTTGAAAGAAGTTTAGGTAATATTTAGGTGAAAATGGGAGAGAAAGTTTAGTATTTCTGCCTAAATATTTTGTGTGACTGTGTGCCTGACTAAAGTAGGACTCAATATTGGTTTTTAATTCTTGGATTTTGAAAATTAAATTAAGTTTTCCTTGTTGAAGGAGGTGCTTGGAATTCAAAGACTACTTACACTTTAAAAGTCAAGTTGTCAAGCTAAGACAAGACATACTTTTATCAATCCATTGCTCAATTCTCACAATGAATATTTTGAATAATACTACCACATATTCTGTTTACAAACCTTTAGTAAATAAATTCAGTTGCAATATTTAAATGTGTTCCTGGATCTATTCCAGCATATATAGAGAAGATCCTTCTTTAAGGGCAAGAAGTGCATATATAAACACTCACTAAATTAAACTTAATTTCAAAAACCAGTTTTATCTGTGTTGAAGCATTGTTGAAGTTTTTCCTTGGATATTTCGATGCTGATCTTTCTTGCTTTCATCTGTGTGAAGACTATTGTTTATTGTTTAACATGCAGTAATATAGTAGTTGTTGTGTTGAGTTAATCATAAATATACCCTCTTTTTTTATCTAGGGATGGGTCCTTACACGTTACTTGCACAGATCAAGATACTGGAAAATGTGAAATCATCACTGTTGAAGTGGCATCGTAGTCCATTTTGAAAGGCAAAGTTTTTCTGAGTTGATTTTGTCTCTTACTGGCTTTTCTGGCAAAGCAGTGACTCTCTGGGATGTCTCTGAAGATTGGAGGACTGTAATAAACTGTAGTAAAATGCTCATTTGCCACCAAGTCTGTTTGGAGTGTGGTGCAAAATGTTAGTCAAGACATGTGGAAGCAGATCATTGAATTATCAGCATTTGATTTAAAAAATGAAAAGCACAAATGTTTGTGCCTCTGGTTCAGCAACAAGCATATTCCATAGTCTAAAGATTTTTCCTTGACTAATTAAGTCTAGTACTCTTTTAGCCTGTATATCTGTGGCTTCAGCCACATAACTTTGGACCAGCGAGAGCTAGACTGGTGAAATGGTAATTGTACTGGAATCCTGTCTGGTTTTGATATTGCCCAAAAGTGTGAAGGTGGAGCCCATTTGTGCTGGCCTCTTGAGTAGGTTAATTTTTTTTCTGAAGTTTTTTTTTCTGTAAAATGGTTTTGTGGTATTACCTGGGGCATATAAGAGTTAAATGTGCTTATTTATATGTTATTAAAATAATTTTTTTTATGTAGATCCTGGCAATCTCCATTCTGTGTGGCRCTGTTTTAATCTATATGTCGTACATTTGTCTGGGTATAAACTGGCAGGTTGTTTTAGTAACAAGGTGCAGCAGGCGAGTGTGGTTATCTAAAGCACGGGCAGTGCAACAGTTCACTGCTTACAACTATGTGTTACCTTGTAAATAAAAAGTTTCATAGTAGAGCCCCGCAGAGAAAATAGAGCAAGGGATACCAGTCTGGATTAGAAGAGCTGTGTTGCATCACCTGGTGTTCGAAGAGAACTTGAGAACCTCGTCTAAAAGCACCTGAAATTAGATTGTAGCCGGGGCGGGGTGGGGCTCGTTTCTGTTCAGCTGTGACAGGGGAGGTTGGGGTTGGACATTGGGAGGAATTTCTTCACATTAAAGGTAATTGGGCATTGGGATGGACTGCTCAGGGCGGGAGTGGTGTTTAAAGAAAGCCTGGAGAGTGGCACTCAAGTGTCATAGTCACTGATGGTGTTTGCTTATAACTAAACGATTGTGTGATTCTGTGAAAGCTACATTATCAGGAAACACCTCTTGAGGAGGGAGCTGTGACAACGGTGTAACTTTTTTTTTTTTTTTTTAACAAGAAGTGCCTGGACTATTTCTCCGCAGTTCTTCCTTTCAGCTTTGCAGCTGAGGTGTCGGGGGAGGAAGCTGCCTCGTGCTTCCCCCGCCTTCCCCAGGCACCGCAGGGCTCTAAAAGAACAAAGAGAAAAGGCTTTAAMTCCGTCCCACTCCATTTCACCCGCCCTCCTCTCCGTTCCCGCTTTCSCGGCCCCATCGCGCCGGGAGCCCCTCACGGCAGCGGCGGGAAAGGGGGGCAGGGCGGTGGGGCCGCGCTCTGCGCTCCGCCCTCTTCCGGCCGGGGCGGAGCCGGAGCGGCCCGAGCGCGACCCCCCCCCCAACATGGAGGGCTGGCGAGGAGGTGAGGGGGGAACGGGCTGGGGACGGGGCCGCCCGGGGCTGATTCCCCTCCCCACCCTCGGGCTCTGCCTGCCCTACGCCGGGCGCTTGAGGGCCGGGATAGAGAGGGAGGACAGGCGGAGAGGCTCCCGTTCGCTCTCGGCGCTGGGAACCGCTGCCGGTCTCTGTCGCGCGGCTCCGTCAGGACCATGCCCACCGCCCCTGCCCACAGACCCCCGGCGGGGCGGCAAGGGAAGGGCTGGGGGCCCTGCCCGCTTCTCTTAGGATCCTGCCCGCTGCCCCCGGGGAGCTGTGGGAGGAGGGTGGGAGGTGCCTGAGGTGAGCATGGAACGGGGGTGGGACGTGGGGAGAGGCGCTGGATCTTGATGCGGCCGCGGGAAAGGCACCGCCGCCCCCTCCCCAGCTCCTGCGCTGAGGGCCGGGGCGGGAGAGCCCCGCGGAGCCCCTGGGGCAGGCGGGCACGGCCCCGMAGCCGGCGGCTGCCGCTCTGGACTCCATCCAACCCCTCGATCCCGGTGTTTCCCGGGCGCTGCCGCTCTGCGGAGTGTCTCGTCCCTCTAAATCCGCCTGGCTGACAGGGCAATCGCGATYCTTCTGGATGAGGGCTGTGAGTCTCTGTTTCCTCGTCCAGTCACCATGGCTGCGTTGCAAGTGCTCGGTTGCGCTTGACTACAGAAATTTGGCGGTCTTATTAAAGAATGGAGGTTTCCTGCTTGCCGTAGTTCAGTTCCGCGATGCTGTAATTGTAGAAAAATTGCTCGGTGCTTAGTGTAGCTTTCACCTGTGGAAGTCTCTGCCCTCCAAAATATTGGTTGTTCTTTGCAAGTGTACATACTGTGCAGAACAAAGGTGCAGGGAGGGAATCATTGACGAGTTTCTCTTGACCCGTTAGAGAAGCATTGAGTTGGAGATGCTGCAGTTGTACAAGACACTCGTGGAATGCTATGACAAATGGTAATGTGGGGACTCTGGGATGAGGCATAATGATTTCAATTTAGCCAAGACATTAAATAGGATTCTTTACCAATTTTCTTATTGTAGCCTGGTATGTGCCATGTCTAGCTTCACTTGAGACCCTCCAAGAATTATGTAGGAAGGAAAATCTCAGATGTAAAGCCATTGGAATCACCGACAGGAATCTAAAGAGTTATGAGGTGGAATATTTGTGTGACTACAAGGTAGCAGAGGTAAGAGAAACACAGACCAATTTGATCACTCTTTCAGCTGAAATTCAAAAGTAGCCAAAGGTAGTTTTGTTCATAATATAAAGCAGCAGGCAGTGAGGACAAAACTTTTGTGGGCATCAAGTTAAATATATTTTAAACTTTGAACTGTAAACAGAAAGTGGTGTAAACTGCTACTTTCAACATGTGGAAGGAAGAYCTTTTCCTGAAATTACAGACGTGTTAGAATACGAAATGTTTCACCTTTGTGCGTCTGATGCTGATGCTTTTSGTGGTAGCTTAGTATGAATTATGATGCCTCTCCTTTATTTGCAGACAACCACGTGTATTTTTTCCCCCTTTGTTGTTTTAGTCTGTTTGATGAAGAATTAGGGCCATGTGCTGCAAATGGATTCCTGTGAAATTCAGTGTCAGGATTTGTCCTTGTTGCAGTTATTTGTCCTTTTAAAAATAAGTGTAAAATGTATGCTGCTTCATTGTAAAGATAATGTTACATGTATCAAATTAATTGTGGTTTTGGGAGGATGGTTGATATGACCAATACTAGGGTTTAGACTTTTTGTGCTAAGTTTTGAATTTTGTTTTTGTTCTGTATGTGATACAACTGCATTCTGCTTGTGCATAYGAGTCATACAGCAAGTTAGCATAATTTACCACCTGTCTTGACAAACTAGCCTCCTCCTCCTCCAGGTATGATGTTAGCAATCAGAGTTCATTCCAACTTTTTTCTTAGCCCATAGAGATGATATGTAAAGTATACAAAGTTGTGCTGCAAGTTAATTTGCAAACAAAACCGATTTTTCTTTTTCTACCCAATTGTAATTGATATGSGGGCATCAAGGCCTTCTGCATTGTGTGCTGATCCTCAGCTCCAGAGCTCTTGTGTTTGTGTGCTCTGTGATGCTGGATTTCAGCAACACGAACTCTGGCTAAATCTATATCTTTTTCTGTATTTCAAGGGTAAAGCATACTATCTTGTGAAATGGAAAGGATGGCCTGAATCTTCAAATACTTGGGAACCTCGGAAACATCTGAACTGTCCTTTGCTTGTTAAGAACTTCCGTAGAGACAAGAATGAATACTTGTCTCGGGTGAGAGATGGCAAAGCACTGAAAGTGAGAAACCGTATTAAAGCTTTGAAACCTGCAATTGCMGATTACATTGTAAAGAAGGCTAAACAAAGAATAGCTCTGCAGAGATGGAAAGAAGAACTCAACAGGAAAAAGAATCATAAAGCAATGATTCTGGTAGAAAACACGGTGGATCTTGAAGGCCCTCCTTTAGACTTCTACTACATTAATGAGTACAAACCTGCTCCAGGAATAAATGTGCTCAATGGAATAACGACTGGCTGTGAATGTGCTGACTGCCCTGCTGAGAAGTGCTGTCCAAAGGAGGCTGGGTTTATTTTGGCTTACAATAAACGWAAGAAATTGAAAATCCAGCCTGGCTTGCCCATCTATGAGTGCAATTCGTATTGTAGATGTGGGCCTGACTGCCTAAATAGGATCGTACAGAAAGGGACCCCATATTCCCTCTGCATCTTCAGAACCAACAATGGCCGTGGCTGGGGAGTAAAAACCCTCCAGAAAATTAAAACCAACAGTTTTGTGATGGAGTATGTTGGAGAGGTAGGTATGTATTTACCTCATATAGGTGAATTACATATGACCAAGGAAATGTTAGATAAAATCTTTATGAGTTTTAACACTTCTTGACTTTTTCACSCAGAGGGTGGTCAGACACTGGAACAGGCTCTCCAGGGAGGTGATCACAGCAACAAGCCTGAGAGAGTTCATKGAGTGTTTGGACAATACTCACAGGCACATGATTCCTGGGGATGTTCTGGGCAGGGCCAGGAGCTGGGCTTGGTGATTCYTGTGGGATCCTTCCAACTCAGGATACTCTGTGATTCTACTGTATAATGGATCAGTCTGCTTTCAAGTAGAGAGATAAATAGAAATTCAAGCCAACAGCAAAATTATATTGTCCAGAACATTCCTTCATTCCAGAGCTGTTGTAAAAGGTCAAATGTAAAGAGAATATTTATCTCACATGGCACTAAATAATTATTTTAGATACATGCCCTAATGGTTTTTCTAAAGGCAAATCCTTAATTTCTTTCATGGCAATCATATTCTTCATTCTTCCCTGATCATCTTTATTGTAGTTTTTGCTGTTCCCAAAGCACACTTATTATGAAACTCCCTGCACAGTCTGTCAGTCCTTTCGTTTTCTGTTTCATCTGAACTTCTCAAGTAGTATTTCCAAGCATGTTTATTACTTTTAATTACCAGCAAGAATAAGACTTGCAGTACAGACATTATCTATTTATTCAATCTTACACTATTTCAAAGAGAACTTTTATGTTATAAAATACAGACCTTGAGCTACTCTTGAGATTCTGTATTGCCCTGTGTTTATGTGGTTCAGCCTGTGCTTTGCTCCAGGGCTCTTCACACCAGCAGCCCCTGGCAGCCTGCCTCTATTACACTGCATTGCATTTCTACCACAAATCTGCCTTGYTACTATGTTGACTCAAAGTATTTCCTTCTGTCCCTTTGTGCAATGTTTACGGTCTTAAGTAGATTTCCTCCATGCTTCCTGCTCCAAAGCTTCCAGCTTCTCATATTCATACGTATTTACTTTAAATATACAAGAGGTCAGCATTACAAATATCTCTGTGGATGGCTTAATGCAGAAAGGTGATTAAGCAACAAAATTACATAAAGGAAGGAGTGTGTATTTACCTTTTCACCTGAATCTACTTAATACCTATGCTGAGTTCTCAAATCTCATCTGTCAGATTTTAAAAGGATTTGTTGTCCATCACATTTCTTATCTCTCTTGCTGCCAAATTATGATTTATTTGCTGAACCTGCACAACAGAATGTGTTTAAAGTGACAGGCTGCAGATGAAGTTGTTTAAGTTGTTTCTTCTGTTGGCAGTGACACGCTCGCCTAATTGAATAGATGGAGCTTTGTCATGTGTCTGTCTGTGCTACCATGAATAGGATCTTTCACTGCAGTCAAAAATAGCAGGAAGAGATGCTTCTGGGAAGAGAGGAAATTAATGTCAGGCTGTAAATGTGACTGGGTTTTAAAGACTGATACCTGATGATCATCTTTGCAAAGGAAGAAGATCAAATCCTGGTTTTATGTGAAGTAAATGAGGCTTTCTGGGTCTAATGGGAAAAGTGTGTACGTGGAAAGTTTAGTTAGAAACAGTTGATTGTATTGTCATCATCAAAACTATTAATAGAGGGTGCTGATACGTTTTTTTTCGGAGACAAGATAGTGCTGTGCATCAGCTGTAGAGAAATAGCATCCCGAGAAGCCTCAGTCACTAATTAGTTCAGCAGTATTTACTCTTATGTATTCTGCATTCATTCATTCATCAAAATGYTATTTCARCATAAAAAACTTACTGTGGTATTTTTTACTAAGTAAAGGGTTTTTTTTTCCTAACTTGATTGGGATTTTTGTTTTTATTTAGTAATAGTGAATAATATGATGCAGGTTTCTTTTTTGCTCTTTTTTTTTTTTTTTTTTTTTTTTTTTTTTTTTTTTTTTTTAGGTGATTACAAGTGAGGAAGCAGAGAGGCGAGGCCAGCTCTATGACAACCAGGGAAATACATACTTGTTTGATTTGGACTATGACTCAGATGAATTTACAGTAGATGCAGCTCGATATGGAAATGTGTCCCACTTTGTGAACCACAGTGTAAGACTTTGTTTTGTATACTAAGAATTTTGAGAATTATCCTAATTGTGCTAGAAATGTCTTCTATTGTAAACATTTCCTTACCATATTCAGTTTTTCTAGAGTAGTTTGCTTCATGCCASCACATGCCAGTCCAGTCAATCAGATGATGTAAATAAATAGAACAGAATACTTGGCCTTACTTGGACTGAGACTGCTTAMAAAAATCTGGGAGTGAGGTGATGCCTGAATTGGATATTTTATAGGACTGGAGTTTTCACTGMATCTGCTGGTTCTAGACAACCAAAATAGGGTTGGTTTGGGTRTGTTTTTTCCGAGTACCTGAAATACTTAACATGTGACAAGTCCTTRATAAAATTAGCCAGGAGTCAAAGATGACAGGAATTTATGTGTTATTTTGTAGCTGGGCAGGATGGAATGTTACTCTAAATTTTATCCTACAAACTTGGTAGAGGGAAAGAAAAAAATCCTGTGCTGTCTTAGGTATCTACAGGGAAGAAACATAATATTCCCTCCTATTCTAAACTTGCYAGAGAACTCAAAAGTAGATTTTAAAGAGCAATTTTTTGCAGTGTTTTATTCAAGTTTAACTGAAGCACCTAAAATAAGAACGCTAAACTGCACTTGTAAAGATCCCTGAACTGATTTCTTACTGCTCTAATGTTTGTGAGGTATGCAGTCAGTATCTACAAATACAGAAAATTGATGTCTTCAGGTTTGTGAGATGATGATACTTGTATTCCATGTAGGTTTGCCAGCRAGAAGGATGAAGAAGAGTTTTAGATACAGTTGCTCTTTCAGAAACAGTTTCACTTTCAGAAACAGAACGGAAGTATTCGCAGTCTTCAGTGTAAAGTTAAATGTCTGTAAGGTCACTTCTGATTCTTTAACGTGTGATATATCTCACTTCTGAAAGAGCAAAAAAGCATGCAGATTTTAAGTCTCAGGAACTACTGCCTTCTAGCACTTAATTCAGAGAAAATGAGGAAGTGGTTTCTAGTTCCTGCTTAGTGCCCTTCATCCTCCTCCTACCACCCAGTCCATGGCAGGGAATTCAGAAGCAGATTTGCAGCTGACAGTAGAAATTCATTCATAGTTATKAAGATGTTATCTCTGGCCTGGAAGCAATACTGAAACATCAATACAGAGCAGTACATATGTGGGGCTTGAATCACCAGGCTGTTTTTAGTTTTCTTTCAACTTTCATTCTTTTTGTGGGTTTTGTAGGTAAATACTAACCTCTGAATGTAGCTCTAATTACTTTGTCATCATTTTTGTTCTCACCTTTGAAGGTGCCATTTTTGTTTTATCAGTTGTTGCATATTAGTATAGTGTACATATTGTGTGAATTGTCTTCCTGGAAGAACTTGCATCTGAGCTGTGAATGTTCTCCTGGAACGCTATTTCAATTTGTTAATTTCAGAAGATAACTTAATTGCAGACTTCTGTCACTGAGACAAGAACCCATTCTTCCTTTCCTGTGACCTTGGTTTACTTAAACACTTCAGTGAAATTTAATGTTAATTTTTCTAAACAGAAACTGCATTAATTTTTGCTTACAGTGTGATCCAAATCTTCAAGTCTTCAACGTGTTTATTGATAACCTCGACTTGCGTCTTCCTCGAATAGCGCTGTTCTCTACCCGAACCATCAAGGCTGGAGAAGAGCTAACCTTTGACTATCAGATGAAAGGTCTGCACACTTTAACATGGTTCTTGTGGGAGTTTGGGGTGCTGGTGGACTGTACTGCAGCCTGACTGATGGTAGCATCTCAGCTCAGGCACAGCTCTCCCTAACACAGTTCTAGCTTTCAGAACAGTCATTGCTCATGACATGTAGTGCAGAGAAGAGCACACCCAGAAATTTTTGCCTGCCTCCCTCAGTGCTCCTAGCACTTCAGGGATTGTGGCTGGATTATCTGGTGAAGCAAGTGATTTTGAGGATTTGTCCCAGGAATGTTCAAAGGAATGAGCAGGCTGCCCTTAAATGAAGCTTTTCTTTATTTGAATTGGCATTTCAGGTAAACTACTTCCTAGATAATCTGCTAGTGATAGTTACTAAGGCAGTTGTAACAGCTCAGCAGCATGAGGCACCATAGGTTTATCTCTGGATTCGGGTGTCTATAGGCCTCAGTTGCAGATRTAGGTCCTATGGGGCAGCTGTTTCAGCTGGAATAGAGTTAACTTCTTCTCAGTAGCTGGTACAGTGCTGTGTTTTWGATTCAGGATGAGAATAATGTYGATAACTCACTGATGTTTYGGTTGTTKYTAAGTGGTGGTTTTCCTAAGTCAAAGACTACTTTGTGTCTCATGCTYTGCCAGTGAGGTGCACAAAAAAAAGTTATAAAAATCTGGGAGGGAGCACAGACAGGTGACCTGAACTGGTCAAAGGGTTATTCCACACCAGAGAATCATGCCCGTTGCAGAAACTGGGGAACTATCCAGAAGGGTCTGAYCAGAGTTTAGGGATGGCAGCTGGGCATTGGTCAGCCATAGGAAAGCAATCATGTGTGCAATCACGCATGCTTGTTTTTTCCTTCTAGTACTACCAATAATCAGCATCAGCATAACCARTATATCATCATTATTACAATATAATACTGTTTCAATTATTAAATCTTYCTTATCTCAACCTTTAAGTTTTACTTTTGATTCTCCTCCCTGTTCCGCTGGGTGGAAGTGTGTGAGTATCTGTGTGGTACTTTATTGCCAGCTGGACTTAAACCATGACACTGCCAAATTGATCTTGAACCCTCAAAACTCCTCTTTCTCTCCATGGTGTCTGTGAACACTGACATTGAAGGCCAGCTGCACGCTCATCTGATCTGTGTGKATACCTGGCGGGTACAAAGCTCAAGGCTGAGTATTGGATTCTGTTGTGTATGCCAGGTGTTGTACAAGTARTTATAATAAGGCTGTCAGTAGAAGCTGAATATAGCTTCACACACAGCTCTTTGAACCGGGGTGTTAGAAGGCCTTTAGAAGCTCTTTGAATACCAGGCATGGTCTCAGTCTATCTTTTAGAACTTCCTTTCTTGTGTTTATCTGTGTTGCAGGTTCAATAGATCTGACTTCAGACTCTGCTGAAGGTCTTAGCCCATCCAAAAAGAGGATCAGAACTGTCTGTAAATGTGGAGCTGTGTGTTGCAGAGGTTATCTCAACTGAGTTCGGGTATCCAAAGTCACAATTTTTTTTTCTTTTTTTAATGTGTTTTAAGAAGACTCTTCTTTCACACATATTTTCAAGTATTCTCACATCTAATGTCAATAAGGATGGTGAAAATAAGGCATTGTGTTTGTAATTGAAATGGGATTGGCCAAAGAAAGAGATTGTAGTGTTTCTATTCAATACAGAACTGATAATGGSGATTAAAAATTAATTTTTCTAGAACTGTTGTTTAGGAAGAAGTAATATGTATGCAAAGAAGACTCTAAAATATACCTTGATTTGAATATTCATATAATAAGCTGGATTGGAAGGGACCCACAAGGGTCATTGAGTCCAACTCTTAGTCCTGCACAGCACCATCCCTKAGAGTCCCACCATGTGTCTGAAAGCATTGTCTGAACACTTCTCGAACCCTGTCAGGCTTGTGACCCCTTCCCTGAGKAGCCTGTTCCAGTGTCCAGCCACCCTCTGGRTGAAGAGCCTTTTCCTTATACCCAGTCTAAACTTCCTCTGACTCAGYTTCAGGCCATTSCCTCAGGTCCTGTCACTGGTGACCAGAGGAGATTGGTACCTGCCCCTCTGCTTCCCCCTGYGAGGATGYTGAAGAGCACAATGAGGTGSCCCCTCAGTCTCCTCTTCTCCAGGCTAACAGACCAGGTGGCCTCAGCTGCTCCTCATAAGTTTCCCCTCAGACCCTTCACCATCCTCTCCTCTTCTGGATGCTCTCTAATGGTCCAATGTCTTTTTTTACATTATGGCACCCAAAAGTGCCATCAGGACTTGAGGTGAGGACTAGTCTGCAGAGCAGAATGGAACAACCCTCTCCCTTGCCTGGCTGGTGGTGCTGTGCCAGGACAGGGTTGGCCCTCCTGGCTGCCAGGGCACTGCTGACTCATGTTCAACTTGTCACAGACATTCGAGTGTGAGATMTCAGCCTTAGGGCTTCAGGAGCTGATTCCATTGGGATGAAGTGATGTTACATATTTTCCGTACCTTGAGAACTCAGGAGACATTTGATTTTAATTATAAATCTTAGATCTGACAGTTCTTTTTGGTCATATAAAGAAAAGCTTGAAGAGCTTAGCAATAACATTTATGGCAACAGGATGAGGGATTAAGAARAGCCAGTGTGTAAAGGTTCACAGGAATGCAAATTTTAAAATGTTCATGGTACTCCATACAAGGGAAGTAATTGCAGAAAGAAAACTAGAGAGGCAAAAGCTCAACCAAAACTTACCCTGGCCACTTCTTTAAAGGATAATAAAAAAAGTTTTTATAAATACATTAATAGCAAGAGGAGGGGCAAGAAAACCTCCATTATTTATTGGACAYGGTGGGGGAATATAGTTACCAAAGATGAGGAAACGTTTGAGGCACTTAAAACCCTCTTTGCCTCAGTTTTCAACAGTAAGACAGCTATCCTGAGGACAGCTGGCCTTCTGAGGTGATAGATGGGGTTGGGGAGCAGAACAACTCTCCTGTAATCCAGGAGGGAGCAGTTAGAGACCTGCTGAGTCACTTAGACACATACAGGTCTATGGAACCAGATGGGATCCATCCTAGGTTGATGGAGCTGGCAGAAGAGCTGGCCAAGCCACACTCCATCCTTTACCTGGAGAAAAGGAGGCTCAGGGGTGACCTTAYCACTCYCTACAACTGCTTGACAGGAGGTTGCAGCCAGATGAGGGTTAGTCTCTTCTCCCAGGGAACCAGCAATAGGACTAGGAGACAGTCTCGAGCTGTGCCAGGGAGGGTTTAGGTTGGTGTCRTGGTTTGAACTTGGCCGAAAGCCAAAGCACCCATGACATTCTCTCCCCCCCCACCCCAAAAAGGCAGAGGGGTGAGCAAAAGCCCAATTAACAATAAAATTTATGGCTTTTAGATAAGATAACATAATTGAGAGAAAGATATATATATATATATATATATATGCTCCAGAAATGGCCAGACAGACTGAATAACTTCAGTTGCAAAATAGATTTATTACTAAGGACTACTAAAAAACTACCGCACTGGGGAGGGGAACAGAGATAGGGAAAAATTTATAAGGAGAAGAAAAAAATAACAGTTATTTTAAGACCCCTGTTATTCTCTCTGCAAACCTGTCTCTCTCTCAGGTCGTCCCTCCCCACCCCTCCATGCCTTCCYATGCACAAGGTGAGTAGGGATGAAAGTTTTAACATAGATCAGTCTACTCATTATGGTTATCGTCCAGCACCATAGGAGAAGAGTCCTTACAGCTCCAAGCTGTGAAAGTTCTTTTCCCAAGAAACAGTCAGTGTATAACTGCTAATGGCATGGGATTCTTTTTTTTTACCTTGTGGGAGAAAGGGAAACAGTCCTCCAAGGCTGGCATGCTTCATTCTGAGGGTAAGGCCACTCTCTCAAATCTCCTGGCAGAACACAGTTTCYTCTAAGCATCAASTCACTTCAGACRTGGCGGGGGCGGGCACCTCTTCCCCCTTTTTGGCTTATGATCAGTCCAGTCCTGCAAGGCCAGGTTTTTTATCTCGGGTGCAGGGCCTTTCTTTTCTATACAGGTCTCCCATTGAAGAAATAGTCATTTCGAGAACAGCTTGTTTTCTCCATGTTCGAGCACCACAGCAACAGCACCTGTATTCTTCTTACATCTTTGGGCTTGTGATCTTTGGGCTTCCATTTTTTTTCGTACATCTCCTCACCCTCCTCCTCTGTCCTCCCCAGGTGCAGGGGATGATACTAACAACCTAAGAACTAATGGCAGCTGCCCTCTATCTTGTTTTGAATTCTTCTTAAATAGAAGACCATCTGTCATCACAGAGGTGTAACTAGCATGTGCAATTGGCCCAGGCCTGACCAGCAGCCTGTCCATTAACCTCAGAGCCACAATGGATTGGTTCTAAAACACAGGGGGCAGGGCTCCTTTTGCTGGAGAAGAAGGAGAAAGCTTCTAGRACTTTCTCACAGGAGCCATCTTTGTGGTTTCTTGGTCCCATCCTCCCACCACCAAAAAACYGGACCGAGTAAAACCAGGATAGTTGGACATTAGGAAAAATTTCTTCTCAAAAAGGGTGATTGAGTGGACATTGGAATGGGCTACTCAGAGAGGAGTCACCGTCCTGAAAGTGTTTTAAAAAAGCCTGTATGTGGCACTAAGTGCCATGGACTGGTTGACAAGGTGGTGTTTGGTCATAGGTTGGACTCAGTGATCTCAAAAGTTTCTTCCAGCCTAATTGATTCTGTGATTCTGTACTTGGTATTAACAGATCCCAGGTGTAAAACTTGAACTTCTTGGCTGATATTARGTAGATTTTTTTCAGTTGTTATGCTCTGATTTTTAGTTAGGATTCTATAGGAGGACTGGAGTTCCACAGAGCCTTTGTAAATACAAGATTGTCAGAAGCAATGTTCACTGTTCATTTTCGTTGCAGAAATTGGGCTGTCATGGCTGAAACAAGTTGCTGGCTACGGTTTGGAAATAGATAGCAAARGATTAAGGAGAGCAGCCCATTGTCKAACAAAGCCAACGCACTGGGGAGATGTTAACTGCAAAAGTACCCCGGGATTGATGTATATTCACAATTGGTTTGGATTAAGTTTTTATGTACTGTGGTTTTTTTTATCTAGTGACAGACTTCTAAGATACTAGGCCTGTATTTTCTGGTTGCAAAAATGTTAACTTCAGTGAAGTTAGACTAGGGGTGAGTATACCCATTTGCTGTAGACATTTGTAAGATGTTCTTGAATGTAAWGGCTGAGAAATGTTCTTCAGCTGCTTGAGTCATCTTTTTCTTTTCCTGATCATCTTAAAGTTGTCTCAATCCATTCCTAATWTATGCTAAGTTTTGCTTGGCTCCAAAACCACTGAAGAGCAATTGAGGTGGATGATGAATGGAGTTACAGCCAAGGTCCATGCTCTAGGGGTGATCCAAGTGCTTTATTCTCATGGATTCAAAGCTCGTAAAACTTGCATATTGCTCACAAGTCACATAAGTGTTGACAGGGTCAGGCACAATAATGTTGCTCCATAAATGGATGCTCTGTAGCTGGATGCTGGCTACGTGTCATAGGTCAGCTAGTTACCTTTGTAAGGTGCACAGCTGTTGGCTCAGGTGAATGAAGTCAAGCACCCAGCATGTAACTGTTTACTTAATTTGTTAGAAAATGCCTTAAATTCCATGTTAATTACTAGCACTTCAGAAAGAATATTTCAAGGTTGTTCATTAAGCACAGTTGCATTTGTACTGAAGATATGACTCTTTGGTAGCAAATGACATTTTGTATGCTACTAGCCAAAATCAGTTTGACAGTTTTGGTGAAGAGCATGGGCCCCTGGAAATGCAGTGTGAATTTTGTAATTACAATACAGAGATACAAGTTGAAACAGAGACTATATATTGTTTAGTGAATAGGAAAAATCTTGCTTAGATTTAAAAGTATTTGATGTGACTATGCTCACCTGTATCCACACAGTTGAGAAATGCTGAATCTCATCAGTTTTTTTCATGTCATATCTCTAATGATTTTTTTTTTTCAATTAAAGTTTTAAGTGGAATGTAGAGCTTTAATGTCAGCAAACTCTAGATGATCTTGAATCATTTGGAGTCACTAGTGCTTTCTCTTGCATGTAGCTCAAATGAGCAATGCATTCTCTGTGGATGGAATCTGCAGTCTCCAGCTCCTTAATCCACTGCAGTCTGGAGCCTGCCCTGTCCCTGCAGGATGGAGCAGCTGTGGCAAGAGATGGATTCCTTCTTCCAGCATTACCTGTGCCAGGGGCACAGGGTGGGCCTCAGGCTCTGTCTCTCCCCATGCCCAGTTTGATTTAAATATTGCAATTAGATAYATTTTAGAAGGTAATAGCTGTGGCAGTTGTACTGGAGCGCAGTGTCTGCCTTTTCCAGAGTTAATGAATGTTATCACCAGCACTGGAATAACGCTGCTGTTTGTTAAGGATGTGTGTGTTATCTTCTGCCATAAATAAAGAACCRTTAATTTATGTTCTAGGAGGTAGCAGTATTTTGTATTTATTTGAAGGAAACCCATAGATCCAGTTCCCAACTTAAAACCTTGAACAGTATTTTATATTTCCATATGCACAGTGGATTTGGATTGCAGTCAGTGAATTAGCTGAATGGGACACTGTGTCACTTTTAAAACTCCTTTTACCATTTTTATGAGTTTGGCAGAATATTGCCAGATTAGAAAAGGAGAAAAAGCTGTTTTCAATTTCTTAGGGAACCTAAACCAGCCCAGCTTCTGCCTTTGTTTTGCTTTGTGGTCTGTTGGCATCATCATGGTCACCAGTTCAGTCGTGTGTATGCACTTCTTAGGGCCTGGTGACCTGTCCTCCAGCTGTTTTTTGTTGGTTTTATATTTTTTTTTTTGGTAGCTAAACTAAAGCTGCAAGATCACATGAGAGAAAAGCTATTGTCTAGTGATTTAATCTTCAAGTCAATATTTTGGTTATTTTTAATGTATGTTTTAGGAACTGTATTAGAATATGCAGTTTGTAAGCTCAGGAACATTTTCTTTTCATATTGTGTCATCTCTAGTATTGCTATCTTCCTATAGTTTTTTTATAAAATAAATTACATTTAGTTTTTCTCTTGTTGTTGTCATTCTTAAAAAAATTAGCCTGTCAAAATTTGTTGTGGCAGTAGAATTTGCTTTAAAACTGCAACCTCATAATTCCTGGCCTGTACCTAAATTTTGTAGAATTCCATCAGAGGGACCATGAGGAAATGATGTGTTTTCAGTTTAGGGCTGGTGAAAACTGGTATAAATTTACACTGACCTGAAGCAGACTGGATTCCTGTGTATTTGAATATCCTGTTAAAGGCAGCCCTGAACTCACATGCACAATACAAAATGAAATGAGCCAACAGAAGAGGTTCTGCTCTKGCTTTATTCACAGAGGTAATTCCAACAGCAGTTCTACTGGCTCAGGCTTGCTAAAAAAAACCCCAAGCTGGTAGATCACATTTGGAAATTAGGTTAACAAGTCCCACAAACAGCAGAAAAGGTAACAGTGGAGAAATACATGGATMTTGAATATCCTTAAAATCATACATAGATTGTAACAATGCTTTGTCTCCTCCTGCTTCTGTTCCCTTTGGCAGAATGCTGGCTGGTTTAACATTCACATGTCACTAAACATGGCACAACAACTGAAGGCACACTTAGAGGGGAGACATGTTGTGCTAAAGTATGTTTAATTCTTTGGGACATAAAACCACATGGATGGAAAACCTCAGGGATTTTTAGGTGACTTCTGTGGTTTGGATATTTCATAGGCACTCCAGTTTATGAAGAATTTGAATTATATTTCTATTTTAGAAGCTAAGAATTTTGGCAGAGTGTTATAATGGCACACATGCATGGAGAATGTATTGTCTTGCTTCAAAACAGTGAAGTCTACAGAATGTTGCAGAGGAGGTGAAATTTTGTAATACAYGAGCCTTAAGTAATGCAACCACATGTCTGGGATACCAGGTTACCTTCCAAGTTACCTGCCAGAGCAGGACAGAACTGGTAACTTGGGCACCACAGGATTTTATTTTTAAGTTTTTCTGAAGAAAATTCAGAACAAACCGGGACACATGGGAACTGATGACAAGTTGTTTGCAATGAGTTGGAGATGAAGCGTAGACAGCGGTCTGCAGTACCTCACTCAGGAGTTAAAGCCAGACACCACTTGCTCAGTGAAAAGAGCAACTTCTTGAAATGAACAATTTGATTTAAAAAACAAACTAAAAACCCCCTCACAATCTCAGTAATTGTTTAACCTGTTCTGCAGTTGTTTTTTAAAAATAACTGCAGTGAATACTGATTAAATTGTTAYAATAATGATAAACAGTGGTAAGAGTGATAGAAGCCAAATAACAACTGTCTTTGTTTGCATGGTCATTCTTAGGTGTTCCTCCCGACAGTTAACAATGCGGTATTTTATTAAAACCTGAGATCACATTATAAAGGCACTCTTAGAGCTTATAATAAAACCACTAAATTTTCATTTAGTGTTCTACCCTTAGTTTTGTCTGGTCCATTTTTTGTCTACTTACAGTCCTGGAGAACAGAACCTTGGGAGGTAGAAGGCTTTTATAGTCTCTCATGAGAATAATTCCTGAATACTTCCTGTTCAACATTTCATGGAAGGAACAGTAAAGTTACACAGGCTGTAAATTCCTTGTTCTTACAGTAAGATTTTTCATATTTCTGAAAAAAGCATGACTCAGCACAGCTGCAGATAGTAACTGGCAGGAAAGAGAAAAAGAATAAACATGTTGGCTATTACCTCAAAGTAATCAGTTATACCTGTCCTCAGGAGACTTTTTTCTCATTGATTATGTTTTCACCTGCTGCGAGCTTCTTGTATAAATAGTGCAGTCTATCTGGCTGAGGCGCTTCAGCATCAGGAGTCAAGGGAATTTCAAAGTCAGAGGAGCTCTGGGAGTCCCTCCTCAGCTCCAGATCAGGAGTCCTGGAGTTGTCACTTATTTCCACCAGCACATCCTGAACATGGGCAGCACCAGCTTCYGCAGCTTTCTCACAGCCTCTGCTTTTCAAGTCACAGGCACCATCATGGGCACAAGGTCTGTTCTGACCCAGTGGCTTTCCCCTGCCACTGTCTGACTGGCTGTCCCTGGGAGTCTCCTGCAGCATGGGAACCACTGCTCTGCTCCCACCTTTGCTGAGTTCCAGGGCACTTCTCTCCTGGGAGGTGATGAGCACTGTGTCCATTTGGCTATCCCAGCCCTGGCTCCCCTGCTCTGATATGTGTGTTGACTGAGAAGAATTTTGGGAAGAAATGTGTGTTGAGTCACTTAGTCCATCTGAATCGCTGAAGAGTGACTGGGACCCACCAGCATCTGCTGAAGACGGAATATTGTCCTCATTTTCAGAGCTTTCCTCTAGTTTATTACCTGTGAAGAATTCACCCCAGCAAGGGACATTGGCATTAGATTCCTGCTGGTCACTAGTTACTCCATTGAAATTGGCTGAGGAAGAGGCATTTGGCTCATGGGAAAGAAACGGAACTGTATTTTTTTCAGATTCTTCTTCTTCTTCATCATCATCATCATCATCATTTGATTCCTCACAGTCCACAAAGTCTACATTGAGGGATGTGCAAGTTGTGGTCCCTTGGTAACTTTCTGTGCTCTCATTAATGTTTCCTTCAGCATTTTCAGGCTGTCCTGTGCTGGAAGGCCTGCTGTCTTCCGTCTGTAGCTTTGGAATCTTAGGCCTTGTAGAAGTTAMTTCTGAATCAAAGAGATCATCTTCATCTGTCAAGAAACAAACAGAAAAAGAAAATCACTAAGAAAAGTTCATATCTCTGCTAAAAACTTGTTGAGAGCAAAGTTTTAATAAAAATTAATTTAGTATAAATGGAGGAAGAAGTTCTTTAACCCAGCTGGAGACTTTGCAGGATGTTATTGACAGTGTTTGCCTTGCCTTGTCTCGACCAGTGCCTAACTGGGACTGTTAGGATACGCTTTCTAAGGGCTGGTCTATGACTGAGGGAAGGAACACCATCCAAAAACTTACATGCCTGTTGGGCATTAAGTATATTTAAGACTGCAAAGAAATGCATTTTTACACAATTAGTACTCTCTCACCCTCCTAAAATCTAAGTTCATTTAATTTTATTTTAATTTCTTTTCTCCTTTCCAGCTGTTGCTTTGAACACACAGACAGCGGTGAACATCAAGGCTTTTGGCACCTCTGCTTCAGTCTCAGACTTCCATTTAAGGTGCAGTAGCACCAGCAGAATCTTTACCTGTATCAGATAATTCTCTCTTATGGGCTCTCTTCAGTGTTCCTAAGGGCTTGTACCTGGGTTCCATGTTTCTCCTGTATGACCTGCATAAKGGCTTTAATCTAAGGGGAATGAGAAAAGCGGTTAATATTTAGAATTCAGCACATGCTTTCAGGAGCAAAAGTAAAGCTTTTAAGTTGTTTTAAGTACACTGCTTCATGCCTTTCACAGGCACTGGCRAAAAAAATGTTAAAGGCACCAATACCTAGGGCAAAGTCCTTGATTCATTGGCGAGCTTCAGCAGCTGAAAGGGAGAAATCTCTCAATATACACCTTGGAACGTGTATACCAGTTGATAAGTAATTTAATTCCTTGCTTAGAGAAGATGACAGTGTTCAAGATCTGACTGCAGTTTTATTTAGTAATTATTAAGTGGAAGTCTCTTTTCTTACTAAAGAGGAAAGGAAAACTGAACAGGAATCTTTGTTCTGTCCAGACTAATAGACACCATAACTCTCCTGCTCCCTGAGGGTGCTTTTTCATCTGCCAACATCTGCAGCAGCACAAGAGAATTGGCCTTTCTGATGCTGGGCAGAGGGGAGGAGTTCAAGTCCCAGAGAAACCCTTTTTAAAAGAATCTTCTGAGAAACAAATAGAAATGGGTCACAGACCACAGCAAGATCAATGTGTATTCAGCTTCTCATCCCAGCAGAAAGCCTCTACACATAGATTACAATCTCTCAAGCTCAGCTCAGCAGACTTGTGTGCTTCAGAAAGCCCAAGTCTGTGTGACTGAATATAGAAAAAAAAAATCTGAATTATCAGACAAGTAAAGCAAAAGGAGTGGCCTGGGATTCAGGGTGGGAATTGTCCTTACAGAAACAGAGTTTGGATCACCTCCCATCAGTAACACTTGTCACTTACATTTCCATAACTTTGTCTTCTGTCCTACCCATTGGCAGTACGTTGGGATACACATTCACAGGACAGATATAGCTCAGGAAATCCTTGATCTAAATTCCAGGAAAGAAGAAGCAATTTAACATCAACAGTTAAGAATGCCACTTAAAGGTAGCACTGATACAAGCACATCCACAATAATACCAATAATCTTATTWAAAGACCAATGTAGCCCATGTCTATGGGTATCTCTGGAACAAGGAAACAGGCTTGAAAGGATGCTGATAATTTAGCCTCACCTAACACCTCACTGCAATTATCAGTTACTATACAGACCATCACTATCTCTGAAAGAAAAGGCTGGGCAGACCTGTAATGTGATCCAGTGCTTTCCTGTCCTTACTGCTGCTGATCTTTTCAAACATTTTTCTTACTGGACTTCAAGTCTCCAGTTGGTATTCCAGATCAAGTATTCATTTCCTCAAAGACTTTTCCTAAAGTCTCTCTTCAGTCCCCTGTAAAAGCCCATTACGACAAAACAYATGGTTTTTTTCAAGCCTTACTCTGTTGTCTTCTAGATGATCTCCAGTAAATTTCTTCAAGAATTGTGTYCACTTTGGGGCACTCCTGCTGAGGMTTTTTCAGTGCTGAGCACTGGAAATACTTGCAGGTTGTAGATTACACTCCTATCCACACAGACAGTAGGCCTGTCCTGGGGTGAACCATGATGTTATTGCAATTTTGTATCTAGAAATTATTTACTGCTATTTTTTTGCCTGTTGCTGTTCCCTTTGTTAGGAAATTGGGKTTTTTTCCACTTCTATCTACTTGTATGCATTCCTTATTGCTGGAAAGAGATAGGTTGAATCTATAAAGGAAGAAAACACATTCCAGKGTGTTCTCCTTTAAAGTGTCTCTAACAAATACAAGCACCCATCTATGTTTGCATGTGGAGGTAGGAGKGTTACAGTTACACAAACCCCCACATTCCACCAGCAAATTCCACACTGGGACCTCCAYTGAAAATTCTGCCTGGCAGAGCAAATTTTAACTTAACGAAGATCTTAAGAACATTACTGCCTTCCTCAATTTTGTAGTGCAAGACTTCGTGACAGTTCATTGTTAACACTGATCAAGTTTCAGTTCAGTTTCTTAGGAGAAAGAAGTGTTTTTAGAGCTGTGTCAAGTCACATTAAATGAAAGTGACTGTCAGGAGGATGCTGCCATGACCAATTTCCTTTTAGTCTTTAACACAGGAAGAGGGGCAACAGCAGCAATCAGGATGTGAGAAAAATTCTGTTTAAATGTGTSGGCAGAGAAAAGAAAGCAAACCCACCCAAATCCAAGTCACAGGAGATACGCAATGTATGGTAAAACAAAACTCCATGCTTTAAGCATTGCATAGTTACACTATAATCTAAAACAGAAAGACAGTCAAAACCACTGTAGCAGTGACCTGTACACTGAGAACAGAGAACAAAAAAYAGGCTTGTAATCCTACCCTACTTTAACAAGTTCCTCTGCAGCTACATTAAAATAAATTTCTGACTTCAGCATCCCCAACTTCCTATCCCCTTATGTCTTATTACTGACAAGATCTTTTTTATTGTGACAAGTTATGTCATTGACTCCAGAATAATCAAAACTTTTTTACATTTTCTTAATCAATGTATATTCAGTACTACAAGTATACAGACCTCACTGTATGAAGAGTGGAAAGAGAAGCAAGCTCTGTATGAACTCTCCCCAGTCCTAAAAYAGAAGAGGCACAAAAATTAGGTAACTGCTTTTCATCCTTGGTCAACAGACCAGCATAATCTACGCTTAAAGTCCATTTTGAGATTCAGTTGTACAAATGTCAGACAAGATACAAACTTGAAACAACAGGTTTCTGCGGCCCAAATGCTTACCTCACTATTACATTTGTTTTCTTTTTCCTTTCCCCAAACCACATAGTGGAGGGTTTGATGCTGATTATGTGCAAGGGAGTTCCATTGTGGCAAGTGATCCCACAGGGCAGTCTGTTCCCTCGGAAACAGTCATCATCCTGTCCAGTGGAAAATGAAATTATGTTTAACGGTGACCTTTTCTAACCAGAAATTAAGAAAAATCTAGCCAAACCAAGTTCTCTCACTTCCAACTCCCTTGAAACACTTTTTGTCACACCTTGCTTCTTCTGACCGATTTCCTTTGCTAGCTGCTCTAAGACCGATGCCCCARTGTGCCATTTTGGGTTCTACCTGTGCTTCTCCAAGCTGGATCCTCCAGCCTGACAGACATCCTGGAATGGGAAGGCCACATGTTAAAACCACACAGTGTGTGGCTGCAGCAGGGATMATTTTACCCGCTTTTGATACATTGAAATTGATCATACCTGATTGATCTAGTCAGCTGCTTGTTTCACTTCACTTAAAAGTACAATTTTCAGGTTTCAAATACAAAGAAATTATTCCTAGCATAAGCTAATGCATTTTTCCTTTTTTTAAAGGAAAAAGAAAACATTTTCCTTTTTTTAAAGGAAACTTCAACCCACTAACTTAAGTTTTCACTCTGCTTTCCATTAAGCCACTGTTTCACCAGTCTTCATTAGCCCAACAGGCCCCAAACCAGCAAAGTTAGGGGAGGCTTTGCAGAACAAACGCACCCGAGGATGTCGACAGGCGTGAATCTGCGTGTGTCGGTCTGTGGTCACATGGCACAGGATWTCTGGCATGTTCCTGAACATATCGAGTTTATTTGTGTGCACCTAGAGAAAGGCAGAGTTTACTCTTCATTAGTTCAATGTATTTGGCAGACTCCAGTTGGAGCAGCTATACAGATGTGATTCTGCTCTCCCTGAATGCTGGCAGGCATTTAAATTATTACTTCCACTAATAATGTCCAAGCAGAGTTATGTCAGCCAAAACTTGGACATCTAGAACAAGTAGATCATACCTTCTATGCTGTTGAGGGATGAATATTCATAACGAAGTACAGAATATAAATACTATTAATGCTGTATGTAAAAGACTTTTATCATTCACAAAATAAAAGGGAGAGAGATAAACACTGATTTCAAAAACTGGGAATTAACCTCTCTTTTGGAAGTCCAGATGTCCCAGACTGAAGTCAACCAGTTAACTAATTTTGAGCACAACTGCACTTTTTAAGAGAAGTTAATGAAACAGGAGCAACTGTCACMTAGAGCAGCCCTCTGAACAGCCAGTGACTGGCCACAATCATTACTGAGGATCTGTTCCAAACAACACTTAGAGAAACATTACCTTGATTCCAAGTTCCTCACTGAGGTTTATGAACAAATACTCATATCCATAAGCAGCTTTGCAGTTCARCCACACAACATGATTACGAGACAGCGAGGTCCAGCTTCGCACTAATTCCAAGATCCCATTTAAACATTCCTCCTGAAAAGTGTAGAAAATGCTGTCAGTCAGCTTGGAAGATACTTCCAAAGTGCTGTKATTCGGTAATGCAAAATGGCATTGCTTTGCAAGACTTACCTAACAAAGGGGTGGTTAATTAATTAGTTTTAAGGGGTTTTCCTCTCAGTGTTTTTAGACTTACCCGGCTTGGTATGTGGTAAAAATTGGGATCACAAAAAGTAGTGTCCAAATACACACTCTGGATGTCCTTTACCCTGGAGAAATGYAGTATCAGAGTAAACATTGCATTACAGTGCTAAGACACACCATTTTCTCTCTCTACAAAAGAAGGTAACTGTACCTCTTTATTAGAAAGAATAAGTCAAGGGAGGCTTGTAAATGCAGTATTGCAATTATATTTAATCCAGAATAAAAAATGAAGAAAAAAATAATGAATACCTAGCCAAATTGTCTATGCCATATGGTCTTCCATTCTTTCTATAKCCCACAAATAGCTCACCTGGTTCCTGAATGCAAAAGCTCCATTCTGGCTGCTTCTCCTTTTGCAAGCCTGAAATCCCCTGTGTACAACACAGTGCCATTCCCACCTTCAAACAGAAACCTGCAAACAACAACACGYGGGTCAAACTCATCAATATAAAGCATTAAATGCTCGGTGGTGAAACATTTWAAGTATTGAGTTGACATACATGACTGAACCTGGACAGTGACCAGCTGGCAGAAGTGTCACCACTATATCTTCTTTCTGGAAAAGAMAGGTTAGCATTATTTTCAGACTGTAGTTAAGTACTACTGGTACTTTCATCATCACAGTGAAAGCAATGCATTACTCCCCACAGTCTCCTGCAGCATTCAGCACTGTTTTTAAATCAGAGAGTATCTTCACATTGCAACAAGCATTAAAGAGCAACAACCATCCTGTCACGGCAGAAGAGAGGACCAAGTATTGTATGGTGTCCATAAAGCAAGTTGGACAGAAGGCAGTTGTGCTTCCTTGTATCCTGGTGAGCAAGTACWGAATCACAGAATGGGCTGGGTTGGAAAGGACCTTTAARGTTTACCCAGTCCAACCCWTTTGCAATAAGCAGGGACATCTTCAACTASRTCAGGTTTCTCAGAGCCYATTCTAACCTCRAATGTTTCCAGGGACAGGGCATCCACCACCTCTCTGGGCAACCTGTTCCAGTGTTTCACCATCCTCATTGTAAAATGCTGCTTCCTTATAYYTAGTYTRAAWYKA